TGTGTACTCCAGGAGCTGCCCCTTCTCGGAGCTTTCATTTCTGAGGCTTTCCTGATGGATGGCCTCAGCCTTTGACTCCCTCATTTTTACTGTCCAACCTGCCGAGTGCTACTTCCTGGCACAACTTGTAAATTCTATTTTTTCATATTTAGCGGAGGCTTAAGGCTTCTGCCACAGAGAAGTGGGGTGGCCGGATATGCTGTAAGTGTAAAATAACACCAGATTTGGAAGACTTGAGTCTGTGATTGTGTTTTCAATATATTTACCTGTCCTTTTATTGCTCTCACCAACTCTTGCTCAGGGTCACAGGGGTGCTGCTGCAGGTGGGCCATGCTGGGAGCCCCAGCGGCTTCATCACCCCCTTCCTGCCCATCCCTCCCCTCTCAGACTTTCAGTCCCTCCAGATCTGATCCAATCTTTCCGTGGTAAAGACGGGAAAACCAAGCATCTGAGAAGAGAAGGGACTTGCCCAGGGTTCCAGGAACCCTAGACCAGGACCCAGGGGTGCCCATTTCCCGCTCCTGGGTGACACGGCTGGGCCAGGCACAGGGCGAGGCACTGTGAACACAAAGACACATAGAACATGGATCCTCTCCTGAGGGACCTCAGAGCCTGACGACAGTGTGGCTCGGGGAGAGAAGCTAGAGACTCCAGCAGCGACAGCCTCGTAATAATGGCTAAGATCTGTGAAGCCGATTGACTGCACCAGTCAACCCCAGGCTACAGCCTCACCTGCTTGCTGCCCCATGATCCTCACGACACCCTACAGGTGTGAGTACGGTTAGCCTCTCACTACGCAGACCAAGAAAACCAGTCCATGGATTTTCTACTTTTTATTTGAGCCACAGAATCCTTTCTTCAAGTGAAATTTTATATGGAACCCAAATAAATACATCAGGTAAAACCGGGAGTGAGTCCCCCTCACTTATCCCTAACCCTTTGCGGGGGCCTGGAGGCACTTTCTCAGAGCCTGGGATCTCCTGTTGGCATAGTTTAAAAACCAGCCGGGGAGTCAATGCTTTCATTTTTCAGAGGAGCAAATAGAGGCCCAGAGGAGGGAAGGAGCTTAGCAAGGGTCACCCAGGGAATCACTGTCACAATTAGCACTCCAACCACAAGTCCCATGAAGCTCAGGCCTGTGCTCCATCCCTGACACCTCTTCTCTCAGGAAACGGAGGCCTTTTATTAGCAGCTATAAAATACAATCTCTTCCAAGCCGTATTTTAAGACCGAGCTTGCGGTGGGCTCTCTGAACACACTGTTTTCGCCTCCCTCCCACCCTATCTCTTCCCTACCTCCAGTTCTCCCACTTCCTCAACCACAGGAGGAGAATCCTGCTTCGTAGCAACCGTCCTTGTGAGCCAAGTCGATGAGTGTGGCTTGAAACTGACACCTTCATAGTTTACCTTAGAGTTTTTGGTTCTTCTCAGTTTATTTCATGTTGTGCCTCATTGCTCCATAATATTCACAGGACTCTTGACATTAGAAAGGGCTTTTTAAATCCTGTGAAATAGGATTTTAAAAATCAACAGCACCTTGGGGTGTGTAAGTGGCGCATTAACTGTCCCGGATGCAGTAAGAGGAGACTTCTTTAGGAAATTTCATGATTTGTACCCCTCAGGGTGGCATCTCTAGGGGAGACTGAATGCCCCACCACATATCCCTCCTTCAGCAGGCCTCATAGTTGTCACCTCCTTTCCTTTCTGGCTCTTTTCCCAGCCCCTTTTCCTCAAGCTGCCTTTGATAAAGGATTTCTTTCTCCCCTGCTCCCTCAGCCTGGCTGGTCCATTCTCCAGGGTCTGTCCGTGACTCTTTTTCTAAGGCTTTTACTATAAAGTATCTAGAAAATGAGGCAGCTGGAAGAGGTAACAAGTATGAGAAGCTCACAGGGTTCCCAACCTGTTTGATGCTCCCCAGAAGCGTGTCCCAGTTGGTCCTGTCCCTGTGTCCCTTCTTGTGTGGTTCTGATGTGACCCAGAGGTGAGGCAAAAAGTGTGTTTTCCAAACTTGGTTTTGTGAGATTCCATTTCTGGGTGCAGTTTCTCAGACACGTGCTTTTATGATGGAAAAAAAAAAAAAGACTGGGGGAATTCTGCTTGCAACCTATTCCTCTTGGAGACTCCATTGTATACCCACATACCAACATCTTTGAGAAGTCTTGCAGTCCAGAGTCCTAGGGAACTTCATATAACCCAAAACCCGCTTGAGCACCAAAAGCTTGTGTTTGCAGCCCCTCTAAGAGATGCTAGTTTTAAGGCAGTTCTGGACATCTCTGTGAGTTGGTTCTGGAAGACTCCAAGCCCTTCATTAGAGTCCCTCTTGGCCCCAGCACAGAGATCATGGATCCTCTACCCGTCCTGGCTTCACTTAGGAAAAGCCAAATTAGGCTGCTTTTTGATGGCCTTCAGGAAGGTTTTTTCATCGATACCAGAGCACTGTCAGCTGGTTGTGCTTTCTTTGGAAGTAAGAGAAATGGATCAAGTGGCGGGGGGCCATTTATGGTCTGAGCATTGCATTCTTGGGGCCTGGTCAAAGGAGGACGTTAGGCCAAGCTGAGCCATTCTTAGAGAAAAGGATGGCACTGGGGTTTCTGTATTTGGGAAGCAAGTCCTTCTTATCAAGCCAGCTGTCGTATACTTGGACTTCTCCTGCAAATAGGCCCACACATGCACAGGCTTACACTGATAAAATGTGCTCTCTGCTTTCTGAAACAGAGGCTTTTTCTGTTAGCTTAGTGACCTTTGGTTTTCATTATTTTAGATGACTTTAATTATTTTTAATTAACAACTAATCCCAGCTTGTGGATCGATTGGTTGATTGTCCTTTCCCAGTTTTCATTTTTCTCTACTCCAGAAAATTCCATCATGATTTCACAGATAAGCCATGGGTGGGTTGGCTGGTTGGGTGGGTTGGCTGGTTGGCTTGCTTGGAGGTCTACATACGTACATTGCTGTGGAAAATGTCATATCTATTACATAAGTTTGCCTGGGCTGCTGTGACAAAATTCCAGCACTGGGTGGTTTAAATAACAGAAATGTACTGTCACACAGTGTTGGAGGCTAGAAGCCTGAGATCAAGGTGTTGGCAGGGTGGGTTCCTTCTGGGGCTGGCTTCTGGTGGCTTGCTGGCAATCTTTGGCATTCCTTGGCTTGTAGTAGCATCACCCCAATCTCTGCCTTCATTGTCACATGGTGTTCTCTTAGTCGCTGTGTCTGTGTCCAAATTTCCCCTGTTTATAAGGTAAAATATTGGATTAGGGGCCCACTCTATCCAGTAAGACCGTGTCTAAACTTAACTACTTACATCTGCAATGACCCTATTTCCAGGTAAGGTCACATTCTAACTTGCAATGTGATACTAGGTTACTGAGATACTGAGGGTTAGAAATTCAACATATGAACTTTTATTTTTATTTTATTTATTTATTTACTTTTTTGAGACTGGATCTCACTCTGTCACCCAGGCTGGAGTGCAGTGGTGGGAACGTGGCTCACTGCAGCCTTGACCTCCTGGGCTCAAGCGATCCTCCCACCTCAGCCTTCTGAGTATCTGGGACTATAGGTGCCTCATGACCATGCCCAGCTAATTTTTGTATTTTTTGTAGAGACGGGGTCTCACTTTGTTGCCCAGGCTGGTCTCAAACTTCTGGGCTTAAGCAATCCTCTTACCTCAGCCTCCCAAACTGCTAAGATTATAGGCATGAGCCACCGCACCCAGCCTTATATATGAGTTTTTAGGAGACACAATATAACTCATCACACTGATTCTATGCACGGTACTACATTTAGCTAAGCTGGAGGACAATAGGGCTCGAGGTCCTGCTGTCCCTTCTAGCTCAGGGGAGGTGGTGTGGTGGAGTAGAGAGCACCCTCGGACTGATGTCAGGGGTCCTGAGTCAAGCCCTAGGCCATCCCTCAGTTTTTTCACTAATAAAAATATTTTAATGAAAAGACCTATTAGTATCCAGCAAGATCTTCAAGGTATAAAAAAGGAAAAAAAAAAAAAAAAAAGACGAACCTCCAGGATGTGTGGAGAGGCTCAGATGAGTTAACAGGTCTGAAAACGTCATGGTTATGGGATGTAGCAGAGACAGGGTCCAAACACAGGCGTTAGGTGTCATCTGTGAAACAGGAAATGAACGGTAGGCTTCTCCAGCAAGAGAGAGCAGTCTGGGAAGCAGCAGAGGTGAACCCTGGTTCCCCGGGTCCTGATGGCAAACCAATTCTTCCCTCTGAACTGGCTCCCTCTGGGGAGAAATGGGGGCCCTGGACTAGGCAGCCCCCTGGCCATGCCACTGGGTGACCCCGCAGAGAAGGTCTGCAGCCAGCAGACCTGAGTTTAAATGTGGAGCTGCTGCTTCCTAGTAGTGTCATTTGGGTAAGTCACTTAACCTCACTAAGTCCTGGTCTATGAAATGGGGATAATAGTAAATACCTACCTCATAGGTTAAATGAGAAAGTCCTTGTGAAGTACTTAACACGCAGCTTGACATAAAGTAGTAAAAGTTAGCTATTTCTATAAACTACCTTTCGTAAGGGTTGAATGAGATGGTGTAGGTGACGGGCCTGCATGCAGTAGGTGCTCAATTAACCATCGATACTCCCCTGCCCCTTTTAAACTCAGTTTTGGCAGAGTTTCCAGCATTCATGATTCCCTCTGGGGTGTAGGGTGAAGGGTGAAGAGTTATACAGAAAAGTATTTGAACTCCTTGAAGAATAACATTGTTTTCAGGCACTCAAAAGCCATTATTAATTACTTGTAATTAATGTCCATGCCAATTGTAACCAATTACAATTCATTAACTTACATGCTCTCAGGACTTTATCTTGCACAGTTTTATTAGAGAATTAGCCAAACTTAGTGTAGTATTCCACCATAGTCATGATTGTCCTGGTGATTCATAAAATGTACCCAGGCCACCGTGTGAATGATGAGCCTCCATTTGCTCTGAGAGAGCAAATTTGAGATGGGTCTTTCTAAGATTCTTGTCTTTCTGGTAGGTATTAATCAGCCAGAAACTCAGGAGACACAGACAAGTTCTTCCACAATGTCGTACAGACGAGAACTAGAGAAATACCGTGACCTGGATGAAGATGAAATCCTTGGAGCCCTCACAGAGGAAGAGCTCAGGACTCTGGAAAATGAGCTGGATGAGCTGGACCCTGATGTGAGTAGGTGCTAAAGGGGAGCACACTGTCACCAGTGAGGGGACCTGGGGAGGGACAGGTGGATGCTTCCTAAAGCCACCACTTCCTTTTTCCTTCCATGGCAATGACGTTAGAATAACTTTGCCTTTGCAGATTTTTCTTTTATTGTGTTGTGTTAGAGTTCTCCAGAGAAAGAGAACCAATAGGGTGTGTGTGTGTGTGTGTGTGTGTGTGTGTGTAGAGACAGAGAGAGAAGGGGAGAGAGAGAGAGATTTATTATAAGGCGTTAGCTCACAAGGCTGTAGAGACCGGCAAGATCTGCAGTTGCTAAGGTGGAGACCCAGGAGAGCCGATGGTATAGTTCCAATACAAATACAAATAACCAGCAGGCCGAAGACCCAGGAAGAGTTGGGTCTGGGAAAAGATGTTTTAGTTTGAATCCAAAGGCAGAAAAAAGCCAGTGTTCCAGCTCAAGGCAGTCAGGCAGGAGGAAATCCCCGCCTACTTGGAGGAGGGTCAGCTTTTTTTCCCTATTCAGGTCTTCCACTGATTGGATGCCCCCCCGCCACCATATCAGGGGGAACAATCTGTGTTACTCAGTCTACTGATTCAAATATTAATCTCATCCAGAAACACCCTCACAGACACACCCAGAATCATGTTTGACCAAATATCTGAGCATCCCATGGTCAAGTCAACATCCAAAATTAACCATCACAGTCTACCCCTTGTCAACTTGGCACACATATACATCTCTTTAAACCATACCTAATTTCCAAATAAAGACAGTAATGATGTCATAATTCTGCCTAACATGATACAACTATCCTGGGTACAATGGAAAACACACTATCACCTTCCCCAAAAGAGGAGGTAAAGTCCATGAGTGATGTTTATTCTTCTCCTTGCTGTCCTGTAACTTAAATACTATAATATAAAATTAATGATACTTAAATCCTATTATACAAAGCCAATACAATCAATAACAGTAAAGTCAGTATCAAACAATCTTGTGTTACATGATAAGGGAATAAGAAAGGGAAAAAGCAAAGATATTTGCTACACACACTCACACACTCCCACACACAAGTGTTCACAAAACAAGGAGGAAGTACTCATGACAATTACAGTCTTCATTTCTGTAACTACTCAGGTAGTTGTAGCTGGTATTTATAACTACCCTGCTTCATTACCCATTCTTTGCCTTTAGCAAGCACCTCAGCTGGTTGTGGTTCTTTACCCCATGGGGTGACCTAAGCTTTCATTTCTGAAAGGCCTGGGCCATTAGTAGTCCTGCCTGGATTAGTTTGTTGTAGTTTTCCATGGACCCTAATCACAGGGCATGGTAATACTTAAAAATGCCCTAAGGGCTCTCCTGTATCCAGATATACACTTTCTCACCTCCCTTGTGCAATAGCTATCCGATTTCCCCTTGGTAGTCAGCATCCGTCACCCCCAGTAACTCCCTTCTTTGCTCGTTGATTCAGAGTCATGAGGAGCCCAAAGCGGGCTGGTGGCAGTTTTAACTTCCAGTTTAATGGAATTGTGGTGTCTCCTAGTGGAACTTTCCTCCTTTGAAACTAAGACTTCTAGGCCAGCAGACCACAGGGTCGTGGGAACAATAAGTGAGAGTTTTGCTAGTGGATCACTAGGAGTAATGGTGAGTGGCACCACTCCTATCTCCAACCTTGATTCCCTGACCCATGTATCCTAGCTATGGGAGAAATGGCATCAGCAACTGCCACTGATTCAGAGCATACACCGCCTTCTGGAGAATGTTGCCCCAGCCTGTAAGGTGTGGCCACCTAGCTGGCACTGTAACTGTGTCTTCAAAAGGCCATTACCCCATTGTATCAAGCCAGCAGCTTCAGGATGGTGGAGAACATGTGTCATGGAATGAATGAGCTGAGAAACAAAGGACCAGAAGAATCCTTCTCATTTAATGTTTGGTGTTTTATCATTGCATTTCTTAATTGGCACATTTAGAAGTGTATTTAATGCTCAGAATTCATCCCTGCACTCAGGGTACACAGTGTGAAGAGTCAAAAGTCTGTTTGGTTGTGTATGTGGTTTAGCAAGTCACACTAGAACAGTAAGCATGGACATAGGTGGCCTCCTAGGCAGGGGTCTTCATCCTACAGCTATACCCCAGGCACCCAGGTCAATGACCAGCGCAGAGAAGGTAGATAATGAAAGTTACTGAACTGAGTAAACGTTCCATGTTGCATATTTTTAATTAAAAATGGAATGTATCACATCCTTTTTTTAAACCAGCCATTGCTCAACTCTGGTTTCATAGTGATCCATAAAGAAAACAACACTTCAATCTCACTCACACACAGATGGCCACTGCTAACATCCAGGGAGCACAGTTCAGATGGAAAAATGCAGGACTAGAAGTTAGGTGTTTTGCTTCCAATCCCAGCCCTGTCTCTTCCACTCCATGTGACCGTGGACCAAGCTGCCATCCTTCCTAGACCCCAATGTCCCCAGCCATGGAATAACAGAGTTGGCTGGTCATTTTCAGGGTTAAGCTAACCTGACTTATAATCTGGTCTTATACCCAGGTGTGATTAAGTGGCTTCATTCCAGATAACTCAGAATCCTTGCCTAGGGCTCCTGGGTCCCAGGCCCCATAGAATTACACATCCCTCCAGCAGTGTGTCCTCCTCTTCCTGATATTCACGACCTTCCCCTGCCTGCCACGAGAACATGGTTTCCTGATGAGGCTGCTCAAGTTGATCAGAAGTCAGCACTGGTGGAAAGAGCCTTGCGTTTCTTTCTTCCCCCGCACCATCTCTCCCCATTAGCCTGTGTTTCAGTAAAAACAAGCCATGTAGGCAAGAAAAAATCAAGCTGTAAAATTATTCTGTTCTAATTCTATCCTAGATCACTGTCACACAGAATTCCAAGAACAAACAACTTTATAAAGGGAGAACAAAAGAGGCATGTAGCCAATTCCAGTTAACTCAATAAATGTCACTTGGTTACCTGCCGAGCACCAAGCACTGTGCTGGGCACCAACAGGGGAGCCTGGCTGGGACTCTGCCTTTCAGGAGCACAGGCTGGTGGGGACACAGGCATAATACACTGCGCTTGACACGGAGCAGACAGGAAGCTCTGCTAGGAGATGAACTCTTACTGGTGCGAGGCATCACAGAGCAGGTAACACTGGAACTGGGCCCTGGATTTTTCTAATTCCATGCAGAGTGAGGGCCTTGAGAAAGGCCACAAGGAGAGTGTTGTGTAGGGAAGGTAATTGGGGATGGGAATCTTAGTGTGGTTTCTGTGGAGGGTCAGATGAGACTAGAAAGGGGGGTTGGGATAGATAATGTGGGGGAAGAGGGGGCGGCAAGGCCTACTGAAGGGTTTAGACTTTGCTCAGTAGGTTCAGGGAGCCCTTGAGGGTCAGAGACTCAAAGAGTTCATTGGTTTGGGAGGTGACACTGAGGACACATGGCCGGAGGGGTGTCAGGGAGATGGGTGAGAGGTAGGAGGCGCTCCCGTGGGGGAATCTTTGCCACTCCCAGGGAGAAGTGCACCTGAGGGCCCCGTGGGCCTGTTGGGCTGTTTGAGTTGCCCTGAGCTGCTGCATGGGGATGAGGTCAGGTCGGGCTGTGGCTGCAAATAAGGCAGGTGATGACAAGGGTCAGAGCCAAGCATCAGACCTGGGAGTGGAGGGGGACAGATGGAGGAGGTCTCTCAGAACCCAGAGTGCATCCACCAGGAACTGCATTCCGTTTCACCCCCACACTGGCAAAGAGCTCCCTCAGGTCCGCCACCCCACATATCAGAGCCTCCAGCCTCAGCAGCAAATACCCAGGGCTCCTGCAGCTCTCACACAGCCAGCTCTCCCACCCAGGTGATGAGCAGGGAAGGGACACTCCACTTGTGCTGCTGGAGGGACAGGGCACCTGGGGCTCAGCTTGCTGAGGGTCACAGGACGCGGGCAGGCACGGAGACTCGGATTTCAAACAGGCTCCAGAGTGTGTGCACCTCCCGCTCTGGCAGGAGAAAGGTAACTGAGCACAGGGGTGTGGGAGCAGGCATGGGCCATCTGAGACCTGCGATTCTCACCCCACTGTGGTTTCCCAGTTGGCATTTTCAAAGACCCCTTTCTCTTTCAGTTCAAAGAAAAGAGAAGAGAAACCAGAGAGAGGATAGGAGATAATGGAGGCCAGTGGGTTTCTGTCCCAGTCACACAATCGGCCCCTTCATTAAGATCAGCTCTGTTACCTGATTTGCAAGACAGTATGTGAGCTTCGAAAAGGCCTAGAGGGCCTCCCTTCTTTTGGAGAGCACAAACATTCCAGTTCTAGTTTCACCCTCCCTTGGCCCATGCTCTGAAATCACAGCACAGGGAGAGGCCAAAGATATGCAGACAATGAGAGACTCCTAGCCGGCCAGCAGGTGTCCGCCCCTCCCACTGCTTCAGAGCAGGAGCAGAGCCCAGAGAGGGGAAAGAACTTGCTCTAGGTCATACATCCAAGCAGAACCAGATCAGAACCCTGGTCCCTGGGCACCAAGGCCACTGCCCTCTCTGTTATAGTCCATATTCCTCCTGTTTTTATTTTTGTTTAATGAGTGCTTAGATGGCACTCAACTATTTGCAGGTGCTGTTCTAAGGACTTTGAAAATATTAACTCATTTGACCATCATCATGATCCTAGGAGGCAGGCCCTGTTATCATCCCCATTTTACAGATGAGGAAACTGAGAGGTGAAGTCACTTGTGCAAAGTCCCACAGCTAGGCGATGGCAGAGCCACTATGTGCGGGTCTGGAGTCCACAACTTAGCCATGCCACTGCAAGTCCTCATGGGAGTGTTCAGAGAGAGAGTTTGGCTGCAGATGTGCTCTAGTTTTGTGGTTGGGGGCTGCTGTATGAAAATCATTCCTCTTTTTTCTGGGAAAGAGCCTGAGGTGCAGAAGTCCAGATTCCAGTCCTGGCTCTGCTCCGGACGTGATTTTCCTTCTTTGGATCTCAATTCTCCTGTCTGTAAAACGGATGCAGTCGGCCTA